AAGAAAACAACGATTTATTAAAGGTTTTTTTCGACAAATAACTTCACCCAATGTAATTGCATCACAAGGAAAATTAACTGAATTATTTGAAATCTTATTAAAGGTGAAATTAAACTACTTTTAATTTTATTAGAAGTCTTTTTGTTTTTATTTAGCTACCAAATCATTTTGATAATGTTGATTCATTTCATCCGGATAATATTCCAGGTTGTGTTCAAAGTTGTCTTGATCATGTGAGGAGAAATTTCTAAAAAACAAAAAAGATTTTCTTTTTCAATTAACATAATTAGACTCATGATGGCATTATTCGTGAAGATATATTTGTTAATTGGATGGGTCGAGAACCACAAACATTAGTTTGGTTGCCAACATTACATCGATTAATTGCAACAGAAACAGGTGTGTTTATTTAAGCACTTCCCTCTTTAAAACCGATCTTGAATAAAGTGCATTCAAATTACATGAAATTTTCAGGATACGTTGAAGCCGTAGTGGAAAGCAGAGACCATCGAACTGGACCCGAACTCGAACAGGTCTGAGTCCGGATATTTTGAACCCAATGAGCTCTAATGAGAAGACTAGACTAAAATTTGCAGTTCTATATATATAAGGACATTTTTCAAAGATATTCAACAAACATGAGCCAAAAATAGCTTGTGTGGCAGCTCTAAATTCCCTGTGGGCTCTCATTTTGTAGATTTTTTTAATTTCAAAGTACATGTCAGCCAGCAGTGCTCTTTTTTAAATTCTTATTTTTGTTATGCGAAGAAAAATGATGACAAGTTCAATACCTCGAAAAATGGTCATCTATTTATAGAAATGCTTCGTTTATATAATAATAATAGAGCTTAATTAAAGAAATAGCACTGCCACTTCACATGCTCTTTCAAAGAAAAAAAAGCAATTAGTTATAATAAAGACCCTTCGAGAATTCTAGAGAGGAATTATTAAGTTTGTGCTATTTATAAAAAAAAATTGTTTTGTTCTTTTAGTTCGACATGAAGCACAATGCGATACTTGTAAGGCCTATCCTGTTATTGGCATGCGGTAAAACGAGCTCAATTGAGAAAAAAAAAAAAGATTTCAATTGTATGATTTAGATATCGATGCCTTCGATGTTTTAATTATGATCTTTGTCAAACTTGTTTTTTTACGGGTGATCATGCTAAAAGACATGATGGAAGTCATCCGATTGAAGAATATTGTAAACAAGTATGAAAAAATAAAATTTATGATAGAGAGACTAAATTAATGTATGCATTTTATTTTTGCAACAGGTAACACCATTTGAAGATTTAAAAGCATTTTTGGAATTTGTTAAACTTAAAGTTGGAAAACGTGAACTTCGAAGAAAAGAACGTTATCTTACAATTGAACGATCAAAATCTTTGTAAGAAGTTTTATATTGAATGTTAAAAATACTTTTTCTTCATTGGATTCATACGATTGCAAAGTATTCATAATCTGATATTCTCACACTATTGACTAGGTTCATCTATGAATGAAAATATTGAAACACGATTTCGAAATCATTCGATAAGCTGTATTCAGCAATTTGTTTTCGCTTGTTTAAGATATTTTCATCTTCAAGCTTTTTATTATAGCTTTTTGTTTTTTTTTTAATTCTGCTATCTTTTCTTAGTACATATTTGTTTATAGCAAATGATCCAAGATAAGATCCAATAATAGTCAAATATAAAGCATAGACAAAACTAAACCTAAATTCACAGTTATCAGTCTCTTCTAGTCAAACAAGATCAAATCGAAATGGGAATTGTTGTCAAGTGTAGGCTGGCGCCCAAATTAATTGGATCATTTTTGCCTATATAAAGGAAAATTCCCTTAAATACTGAGTCACATGACAAAGCATTTTTTCATCAATAAAATATTGAAGTAGGAGAATGGTATTAAAGAATGTCAAAAGAGATTTTGGTGCTGTTGTTAGAGCTAATTTAAAAAAAAAAGCAAATCCAATGAGTTTAGGCTGTTTTTCAATTTCTTATTAAATCAAACGATTCATTGGATCATTATCTATTTAGTTGTCAAAGAGAAAAATTATTCTACATAATTTATCGATATAGTTCATAATTAATGAGACAAATTTGAAATATTCAAATTGTATTATTAGATTTGGGTACATTCCTAATGTCTACGCCAGAATAAAAGAGAAGCGACTGTAAGCTTAATCGCTCGCAACGGCAATAGCTATCGATCAGCGGTTTTCAACAATCGAAAGAGAACTTTGGACGTCTCTTTGTCTGACACTATAAAAAACAAAATTATTTTGCAACCCATCATCTTCTTAAAACTTTCAAAAAAATGCATGAAAACAATGTTCTGATGTAAGAAAATTTTGATATTGATATGTGCTTCAGGTCTATAGGTTAAGCCACGATTCAGATGATTATCTTTTCATATGCAGCGTTGAGAAAACAAAATCACGTATCTATTCAGTTTAATTCTTTAGAATTCTGTTGTTTTTTAGTAAGTTCTCTTGAAACCAAAAGTCATATTTTTGAATAATATTGTGCAAAGATAATAGGTTTTAAAATAAGCTTTTCTTACATAGTATCGATACAAATATGTCTCAAGTTCTGCTCTTTCGATTGATGAAAACTACAGATTAATAGTTGTTGCCGTTGTCAAGTTATAGAGCTTACAGTTAATTCTCTTTTAACGCTGTCGCGAACATTGGTCAAGTATAATGTCATACCACGATTCAGAAAATCTCAATACATTTAATTATATATATAAATATGTTGATGACTTTTATTTTATAGTTCTGATACGCAAGTCAGTTCATCGGTAAATAGTTCAAGTCAACTCATGACTAATGGACATCATTCATTAAATCGTCAAGAACAATCTACTAAAAAAGTATTATCTTTTTTCGTTATGAAATAAATTTCAATTTTTGCTATTTTTAGACTCAACTTCAAGAAATTTATCGAACGTTTCCGAATAATGAATCAAATGGAACATCATTACTTATCATGTATTAGAAAAAAAGATTTTTATTTTTTGCAATCATAGATCAATAATATTAATGTCTTGTTTCGTTTTAGTACACATGAAAATAATGAACAAAAAATTCCGTTAATTGGTTATGATAATGTTGAAATCGAAAAAGAAAAGAAAAAAATATCATTACCATTAAAACAGAAATTAACAGATGATGAACCTTTATTAGAAAAAGATCAATCATTATCTCCAATAAAATCTAAAAAATCAACAATTCAAGATAATAATTATGTTAATGTTAAGCAAAAAAATATTTCTTCATCTAAACGAACACAGTTACCTGATGATGATGTACCAATACTTATGCCTAAACAACATGTACCAATAAAAAAATCTTTATTACTAAAACAACATACAGTTGAATTAGTTCATTCAGAACATTATCAATTACCACCAAATGAACAAATTGATGACGATGATAGTTATCAACCACCATTACCACCGAAACAACGTAATCAAAATAATACATCTCGTGCACTAGTTTATGACTTTATTGGAAGTGAATTACAAGAATTACGTGTAGCACTTGCTCAATTTGATGGAAATTCATCAAGTAAAGTCATAAATAAATAGAATACAATTAAGTTATTTTATTAGTACATCCCTCTTCTTTTTTATTTTAGTTGCTTAATCATATTCTTTCGGATGTCGACACAGTATTATAAAATGTATCTAGCGATTCACAGATTGTATCTCTTATTCTTTTGTTTTTGTTCTTGTTTCTCTTTTGTATTGAATCTCTTTTTTTATGCAAATGAAATATGGGCTGCTGTGAGCATTGTAGCGATTTTTTTCTAGCGAATCATTTTTGTATTTATCGAGTTTTGCTTTTTTCTTTTTTCTTGTAATGAATATAGTCAGATAGTGTTTGCCATATATCTTAATCATGTGGAATAATCTTTTCTTTTGAAAATGTATAAAAATAAATTTTCTTATTAATTGCATCGTAGATGATAGAAAAACTAATCTTAACTTTTATTAAAAGATAATCTAACGATACGTACAAAATTAAAAGAAATACATTGAGTTTATTTATCATTTATGCTAATTTCGCTTCCCATACACACTAACTCACCTATGCTAGCTACAAGCGCAGATGTACGTCACGACATAATCAGTATGCTATCGGACGCAAGATCCAAGACAAATAGCCGTTAGTGCCTTGTTTAGTGCCATTTTATTGCTGACGGTGCCAAGGTTTGATATGTGTCGAACAACGTAGCCACTCAACCGTGGTGGTTGAGCACTAGAGACCTGTGCGGAATCAGCTTCAGAGTCAAGTAAATTTTTAGCTGAAAGTTCAATTTTAACATAAGAACTTTTTTGAATCATAGGTTTTGTTGTCTGATATTTACTGTGCAAACTGATGCATTTTAGATGTTCGAACGACGTCTTATCAAGGTCTATGGATTTGAAAGAAGATCGGAGTTGAACTTGACTCTGACTGTTTCGTGTCCGTATTCCTCTACAAAACGCTGTTAGAGTCTTCAGAATACATCAGATTGTACAGTAAATATCAAAGAACCAAAATCTTCCCTTCAAAAACATTCTCATGTTAAAATGAAATGTTCAAAAAATGAGTTTCGTTGATTCTGTTCATATCCTAAACGGGCATGGCTTACATGGTTAAAAAAAACAGATTTTTGAAAGCATATGCAATCGACTTCAGTTTTTATGTACGATAAATTTTATTTAAATAAAGTTGATTTTATTGTTTTTTTTTTTATTACAATCGGAACATAAAATATTATTGAATGCCCAAAAGTTTTGTAATAATAAAATCGTACGTCCGCTGGTTTTCTAATACATGTACAAATAATTTCATAAGTAAAATGTTCAAAAGAAAAACAAATTCATAATTTTAAACGCTTTCTAGTGATAATATTCGTCAACGAAAGTATAGCTTCATAAGCTTTGATTACGCGTTTTGTTCCTCTCAGATAACCAATCATTGACAGAATTCGAATCCAGCAATATATTTATTTATTTTCATGATTTGCTTCAGTGGCACAATCGAGATAATTCATAGATAGTATCACCGGAACTCGTATCGATTGTCGTCGTCTTATATATTTTTTTAAATAATTACCTGTCAATCGCCATCCTTGTAGAAACCTTACATCAAGTGCAGCTATTATTATTGGATCAAGAGTTATGCTAATATAATTTAATTTTTGTGCAATAGCACCAATTGTACTATTCTTGTAATAGAATGGAAATACAAGAATATGTGGTGACCATAATATAATCCAAAGTGAATAAAATACACTTGATTGTATCACTAATTGACGGTGATATTTTTGTCGCGCATCGACTATTTGTTGTGTTCGGATACCATCTGTATTACGAACATAATTAAGACTGAGTGAAAGAAAAACCAATGTAAGCATAACCGGTATGAAATAAGATAAGAGAAGAAATATAATCTTCATCGCAAATGAAATAGGCAATAAATCACATGCATCACCTGGTGGATTTTGAAGAATTGTCCAACCAAATTTAATTGCTATTATATGACTGAATAATGGTAAAAAATAAATAAGAAAATGAACAATAATAATTGTATGACGATTTGAAGAGTAAACATTATGATTATGAGCAATCTGTAAGTATCGACAGATATTCAATGCTAAAAGAATATAACTCTGTAAAAGATTTAGATAATTATCAAAGATAGCTTCACAATAACAAATTATTGTATGAAAAAGAATTGGTACACATATTGGCCACCAACGATAAATATAGAGCAAAAAGAATCGAACTAATAATAATATATCAGTGGTTAAATAAGCATATAGCCATTGTATTGACCATCGAGGAACTGTTGGATATACAATTATTTGGATCCAAAAAAGAGCATGAATGATCGTTGCTATAATACATATATGAAAGAGAGGTTTCATTGTTTTTGCTGCTTGTTCAGACCATAAAATAACCTCACAAGTATTAGCATCATTCATTTTCATGATACAATATCAAACTAAAACGATAATGATTATTAATAATTCTGTGTCTCTGCAGAATTAAATGATGAAACTAGGTCGTTATTAGAAGATAAATTTATGATAAGTCATGCAACTACTGAATTATGATGAAGAGGTTGTTAATTTATGCATATATTTATGATTATTAGTGCGAGATTCATCAAAACTAAATAATTCTACGTATTAATGATTAAGATCTTTTACGAGGATAATATTTACATTGACTAATAAAATTATTCAATAAAGTTTATTTTTGATTTTTTTCGGTGCCTCAAATATGACAAAAGAATAGAAATAGTTCCTCCAATAGATATAATTATTATGTCCAGAAAACTGAACTCTTAGTTTTTTATCACGCTGGTTGTGGAACTATCATTTTTTAGATTGAATAGAATGATAGAGCAAACGACTGTTTTACAAAATAAGACGTCCCGGAGTTCTTTGTGTCGTTTGTTTGATTAAGATGGAGCAATTTGATTGAAAGCTCTAAACTAATTTTTCCATAACAAATAAAAACAAAAACAAAGTTAGACTCATCGATATAATTATGGTATTGCAACTAAGCAATGCCATAACAAACTCGAGAACGTCTTATTCTGTAGAGAACTGCATGCTCAATCATTCTATTCAATGTAAACAAAATAATAGGTCCACATATGTACATGATAAACGATTAAGGTTGTGGTTTTCTGTATATTCTTATTGTAAATAATTATGTCTATTCGAAGTAGTATGTCGACTTTTTTTACGCATTCAAGACAACGAGCAAAATCGAAAAAAAATCCATATGTTGATAGCCACTGCATGTCCTTCATGTTGTTTGATCAATATCGATTTAACTATGAGTATCCAAATACATTACTATCAAGTCGTTATTCTATAGAACAAATATTCTCGATGATTTAGTCATTTAAAACAAAATTTAAAAAATAAAATTTTAAGAAAAAGCGTTTTTCATATTAAACTTAACATATTATTCGATGTGACTTGCCTATGTAATAACTAATAGATGTATACTTGTCGATTATATAAATGGAAAATAACTATAAGTAGGCATATTTTGAAACAATATTCTCAATCGAAGCATATTCTATTGGTTAGATTCCTATGAAATAGAAAACACTAACAATCAGCTACTTACTCATATAAATTGAGAGAGTGAGTTTTTAGTCGGTCTACTATTATCGAAGAATGTCAATAGTAATGGACTATAACGAGCAAGAAATACAAGGAATGCATTATTGTATTTGGCATTTGTTGTGAACATTTTCTTCTATTCTATCGTTATTTTAAGGATCTTATAACAAGTAAAAGAAGAGAAAAAGAATCATAAAGAAAATGATTCGCAAGCATTGAAGAGAAATCCACGAATCATGTGAGAAGAAAACACTAAACATAAATCGATTTCTAATTTTAACGACTCATAAAATTTTATCGAATGTAAAGTAAACTAGTTTTTTTTTTCTTTATATAAAAATTAGAAAAATCTATGTGCCCTTGTACAAATATTGTTCACAATGAAAGTGCAATGAAATAATATAAAACAATCCTTGGGGAATAATGTTATTTCTTTTTTGAGATATAAATCTATTAGGATATCTTGACAAGAAAAGATGACTTAGAGCTGCTTTACATAACAAATTTTGCTTTTGTTTCGTATATAGACATAAAATATTTTACAAAAACCAAACATGATAACATAGGACTATAAAAAAATGAACTTGAGTTAATGTTGAAGTCACTTAAAAAAAGGAAACATCATGTCTTGTAGTTCATCATCATCGGAACTAATAACAAAGAGAATTACAGGATATTCCAAAAGTTCGCCATGAAAAAAAACAAAGATGAATATCTTTTAAATAGTTTAAGTGATTTATATATTTAGTTTGCAATTCTCTAAAAAATTTTTGTACATAATTTGGTTCGTAACAAATATTCAACATGATTATCATCCATTGAAATATTTGAAAAAAGATATTCAAAAAAGGTTTAATTTCGAATCAATTTATTCCGTTACTTATTTTTAAGTTGAATTCGACCAAATCCTTATCAATGTCTTGTTAAAACTCATATCAAGGTTTGAAACCTTGACGTCGGTCTTGAAGATCTTCTTCATAAAACTATTGGACAAGTTATACCGTGTATAATTTATCGAAAAATATTCAATCATCTTTTAGTGTATTGTTGTTCAGGGAATGAAACAGAATGTTGCAACCGTCAAAATATCTAATTGTGACTTATTTTCACGAATATAATATTAGCTTCAGCTCTCACACGTATCCTATATTAATATTGTTCCGTAACAGCTAGTGAAATTTCATTTTATTTTAGCCATTCGACGGAAGTTTTGTTGGTGAAGTTCCGACCGTCCCATGAACTTTGTCGATTTTCTCTTCTGTAATTGTTGAAGTTCTTTCATAACTTTGTAGATTTGCCATAGCGATTGTTTCACAAACGATTGAAAAAGTATCTCGAACACAATCTACACTTGACGTTTGAATGCCAAATTCGATTTGTATTTTTCGTTTCCAAATGATCAATGACTCGAATTTGACTATTAATAAAAATTAATTGCATTCTAATGTTTGTGTGAGTGCAGAATTTTATCAGAAAATAAATAGAATAAAATTTCAAAGAATATAATGTTGTAATGTAAAAGACATTCACTTGTTTTCTTCACGACGGACTTTTGAGACACTCTGTAGTATTTGAGATAAAATGTGTCACCAAGACGTATAAGAATTAAACTAATTGCATTTAAAGTTATACTTGAAAATTTAAAATTAGATCATTATTATGAAAATTCATCGGATTTCAAAATTCATTTTAATTGAAATGTTTTATTTACAGACTACTAATATAGAAAATCATGACATACATCAACCAATATCTGTTGATAATATCAACATGTGCTGTTTATGTTCTTCTTTATTTCTGTTTTGATACAATTGCAACGGAAACTAACGTATAATTTTTTTACAGTATACTTGGCATGCAACTAAACAATTAATTGTTACTGATATAGCAATGAACAAGTGGCTATTATTTTACTTCTATCTGATTGGTAGGTAAACAGAGAGTCAGAACCTTGAATCAACTATTACATCACATTTGTTGATTGAGAGGTTAGTGGCTCTTTTTGTTCTAGATTGAATCGAAAAGTGCATAAAAAAAATAATAGATATTTTAAACGACTTCATTATGCATTTGATTATGTAACATATAGATAGACATAACTGTATGTTCATATATATATTCACTTAATGAGAAATTCAATATTGAATCTGTTTTTGATGTCAGTATCTTTTGAAATAAGTGAAAAAAAAACAATTCATAACGTCTGGACAACTGTTTATTATACATAAATGTTCGAAAGATTATGTTTTAATCTGTGTACTCAAACTATTATTTAATACTAGAAATGTCAGGTTAGTATTAGTTTTACGAAAAATACTAATAATTATCCATTTGTATTTAAATTAATTTTAATGCAAAATAATACCAAAGTATTAGACATAATTAAAATAGTAACGCATTAAATATTGGTACTAGAATTAATTAACACTAATACTATTTATAATGTGGCACTCCTACAATGAGTACTTCATAATTTGCAATGTTTTCGAAATAATACCTAGTTATTTTTAATGCAGAATAGTAAGTGTAAAAATTCCATGATTAATCATTTGTTTTCCTCTGATGTTTGTAAACTGGATCCAGCAGAGTTTACTAAATTTTTCATATTTGCACAATAATTCTCTGAAAATTCTGTCTTTGATTGGAACGTTTATTCATAAAATAATTATTAAGACTTTGATTTAATTTTTACAAAATTCATTTTATTAGTTACACCGATACAGTTAGCTTATGGTAACATTGTGTAGTAGTGTTCGTTCTGAAGAGTTTGTAGATGAAATGACTGGTGCATGTGTTGACTTTTGTCGTCTTATAAGACCTTTAAAAAAGTCATCCGTCGATCGCCATCCGTTTAAAACTCTTACATCAAGCGCAGATAACATTATTGGATCAAGAGTTATGCTAATATAATTTATTTTTTGTGCAATAATACCAATTGTATTATTCTTGTAATAGAATGGAAATACAAGAATATGTGGTGACCATAATATAATCCAAAGTGAATAAAATACACTTGATTGTATCACTAATTGACAGTGATATTTTTGTCGCGCATCGACTATTTGTTGTGTTCGAATACCATCTGTATTACGAACATAATTAAGACTGAGTGAAAGGAAAACCAATGTAAGCATAACCAGTATGAAATAAGATAAGAGAAGAAATATAATCTTCATCGCAAATGAAATAGGCAATAAATCACATGCATCACCTGGTGGATTTTGAAGAATTGTCCAACCAAATTTAATTGCTATTATATGACTGAATAATGGTAAAAAATAAATAAGAAAATGAACAATAATAATTGTATGACGATTTGAAGAGTAAACATTATGATTATGAGCAATCTGTAAGTATCGACAGATATTCAATGCTAAAAGAATATAACTCTGTAAAAGATTTAGATAATTATCAAAGATAGCTTCACAATAACAAATAATTATGTGAAAAAAATGTAATACACACATTGGCCGCCATCGATAAGCATATAGTAAAAAGAATCGAATTAATAATAATAAATCAGTAGTTAAATAAGCATTTATCCATAGCATTGAACGTCTATGCAGGACTGGAAATGCTTTTAATTGAATACGAAATAGAAGATGACTGATTGTAACCAATATACATATATAGAAAAGAGGTTTCATTGTTCTTGTTGCTTTTTCGGATCATAAAACAATTTTACAGTCTGTTCTATTATTCATGTTTGAGATTAAATATCCGAAGAAAAATTAGAAGATCAAAAATGTTCTAGACTCTTGAGGTGAGAAACAAATAATCTATCTTATGATATTAAATCATTTTGAAATTCTGTGCTTTCTGAACATCAATTTGTTTGTTTTTGCTTAATAACAGTAATCGATGAAATTTCGCCCAGCTAATTATATTTCAAGAAGTCATAAATATACGAATTCAACATCTTTGTGTCATCGTTAATGCGTCATTATCTCCACGGAAAAATAAGGAAGTACTCTGATGTTAGCTTGTAATGCATCAAATAATTACATAAGTATCAATAATTTCTTCATCGTTTGGTTTTTTCCAGTTATTTTTTCTTGAGAAAGCTGTTACAAAAATTTCTGCTTAATAAAAATGTGACAAATGAATAGGGCTTCTAATATTAGTTAAAAAAAGGATTAATCTATTTATATATTTTGGTTTATGAATTTCTACTTACTATCAATGCATATCAATAATGAAAGATATTAATCGCAATATATTACAATGAGTATGGAAAAAGAGTAAAAGAAAAATATCACACGAATCTTGCCATAAACTTTGATCTTGCAGCTATGTGTGCCGCATCTGTGACGAACGATACTAAATTTCTACTCCTATACTTCAACACTTCTTTTAGATCGTGTTTCACAAAAATATTATTCAGACAAGCGATAAATTCAAATGTTTTATTTGTAAGTCTTATGAGTGAACTACCCGAAATGACACCCATCGTTTGAGTGCATATTAAGCCCATAAGGAGATTTCAGTAAGACTAGAAAAATCCTAAAGAGACTCTTGTCTATGGACCTGTGAAACTGAGCTATGGCCGTTTTACTAAATTTTCGGTTTAGCTTTAGGTATTTATCGAAAAATCCAATAACTGTATTTCGATCTGATGTTTAACCTATAGATAAGTCTAATGATTCATAAAATATTCTGAAAGTTTCAGCCGAAAAGAATGTTCCTTTGTTGAGATGTTGAATTTTTTTGAAAAAAATAATCATTTGCCAAAACAAATCGAGCTTACTTGAAAATTCAATTCCTCGACAAAGAAACATTTTTATTTACTGAAGCTTTCAGAATATTCTATGGATCATTAGACCTATCTATGGGCAAAATTTTGGGTCGAAATTCCATTATTTGATTTTCCAGTAAATACCTAAAGCTGAATCGAAAATCTCATAAAACAGTCATAACTCGGTTCTAGAGGCTTATGTACATGCACCTTTTTAGGAATTTTTTAATCTTATCAACACCTCTTGGTAAACATAATATGAGCTCAAACAGCGAGCATCAGTTCGGGCAGTTATCCCGTGAACCTCGTTCGCTGTAGAAATCTATAGAAATATTTTCCTTGATGCTTTAAATAGAATATTATTCTGAAAATATTTTCATTTCAAGAGATTGGTTATATCACATAAAGAAATCAAAATAATACAAAATAACATAATTCTAACTAAATATAGGATATCAACTTAATAAAAATATACATCAAGACACACTCAAATATCGTACAATCGTTTTCTACAACGTCATAACTTGATAAATTAGTATCGAATGACTATATAAGTAGTAAGAAAATTCTATTTTAGATACTAAAAATTAATTATTCATTCCTTTATTAAGTCAATGTATCATCACAACACAGTTTAAGCTCTCTTCTATATATATTTTTTCACTTTCTAATATCGTCTTATTTTCATTAAAAATACAAAATGTCGATCTTGTATAAATAAATGCATTCATATACAACGTCGTTAAAGATTGATACAATATTTATCATACTAAAGCCTCGATTCTTTCAGGTTTTTATTCATAATATTTATCTTCAATACTGTAATCACGGTTGACTGACCTCAATTATAGAGTACCAAGCAAAATCCGTTTTGAATCAAGCAAGCGTTTCATGTGCATAGTGTATGTGCGATACAATCAACATGTGTATATAAATTGAATCATCAACGTATATAAATGCACATGGTCTATTTATTTTTCTTCTTGTCTCATTATTACTCGCAAAGAAAAATTACAGAAGAATTTTTTTATGCTTAAATAAATGTATACTATTAAATTTTATATTCTAATTTTTATTATTTTAATTGATAATGTTCAAACACGTCTTCAAACATTTCCATTTGACACTATTGTTACTTTTGGAGATTCAAATACTGATACTGGAAATGTATACAATTTAACTGGACATCTTTGGCCTTTAGTTCCACCTTATTATCAAGGTCGTTTTACTAATGGTCCTGTTTGGATAGAAAATATCGATGTTTCGAATATTGCAAATTATGCTTATGGTGATGCGACAATTGATAATGATAATTTGGTAATAGGCTTTACTGGACCCAATAAAACAATCGTACCTAGTATTCGTCAACAGATTGTCAATTATTTAACTGTTACTGATATAAGTAAAACTGATTTATCACGTACACTTCATATTATTTGGGCAGGTGGTAATGAATATCTAATTGACCCACATTTATCTTCCGACACAGTAATTACTTCTCTATTAACTGCAATTGATGATTTACTTGTTGTTGGAATACAACATCTAATTGTTATAAATCTACCACCACTTCAATCATTTCCTGGAGCTAATCAAAATCAGAGATTGAGTACCTTAATAAATCAACATAATAATTATTTATCATCAAACCTGACCCAAATACAATCTGATTATACGAAAGTATCTATAAGAACATTTGATTTATATTCATCAATAACAGAAATTCTTTCAAATAATTCAATATATACATTAAATAAAAATGATAAATGTTGGAATATAATCGATTATCGTGTTATTTCACAATGTACAAATCCAAATGAATATGTTTTTATTGATGATTATCATTTTACAAGTGTTATACATCAAGTTATTGCTAATAACATTCAAAACTTCATTTTATCATCAGCTATGAAAAGTTTTTCTTGTTCGAAATTTTATGCCTTGATTTCTATGATTGTATTTATTATAAAGAAATTTTAATATAAGTTGTTCAACTTATGAATGAAAAAACAAAAGAATATTTTATAATTGAACATTTCTAAGGATCATTTGAAACATTTTAATGTTTCAAACAGAATGCTTGTAAAGCAAAATGATTAAAAATATCGAGAATTGCAACTAATTATATTAAGAGAGAATTTGTGAGGAGATAGAAAAACCGAGACACCGGTCAACATTTTAATTTTTGATTTCTTTTTAATGTTCGTTCGAAAAGACATTATTTGAAACTACTAAACTGAATTTTTTAACGCAGTTGCACGTATTATCGTAAAGTTAGTCAATATCGAATTTTGAGTACTACTAGCCTACTATCAACAAAGTGGCCAAAAATCGTCCGATAAATGTTTATTAGGATTATTCTTGAACAAATCAAAGACTTATTCATGTAATAAAATAAAAGATAAAGTGTCAATAGCTGAAAAAAAATGAGCTACTTAAATTCTTACATATCATATATTTACAGGAGTTTTGTAGTCCAACATGAATGAGATAGGTCACAATTTATGAGTGCATAATGATTGATGTTTGACAGTATACAGACTGTTGTTGTGTAAAATCAAAAGACATCAAGCTGCATTTATATATATATATATATATAATGTAATTTTTTTATTCTCTACAAAATGGTAAAAAAATATTGCAAAGTATACCTTCGGGACGAAACAAGGTTCACATCTCTCTCGTACATAGTGATTTTTTATCATTTTTTGAAAAAAAAAACAAAATATATTTTTAGCAGTTTTTATTGTCATTACACGATTGTAAAGCAAAATAAATGTGACATTCAGAATCAGCGTCAAAAACTGCATTAAGTCAAACACATCATAAAGAAATTGTTCTCCTGTGAAAAAATCATCTGTGTCTCGTCAGGGCTATATTTTATTAAAACTTTCCTTCATGTTCCTCCAGGAGTTGTTTGTCGCAGATAAAAAGTTTCTCTAAAGTGTGTTTGACTCGATAGTTTTTGACATTCAATTCGAAAGTCACATTTGTTTTTTGCTTTACAATCATACTATGACAATAAAAATTCAATTTGGTGTCCTTTGATTTCAAAAGATGGCATTAGATACTGTCAAATATCGATCAGTATAGATTCGTAAATTGTGTGTTGAACTACAAGATCCCAATACATATATGATATGTAAGAATTTAAATAGCTCTTTTTTTCAGCTATTGACACTTTGGTTTTTACTTTACTTACACGAATAAGTCTTTGATTTGTTGAAGCATAATGCTAATAAACATTTATCGGACGATTTTCGATTACTTTCTTGATAGTAGGTGAGTATTACTCAAAATTCTATGTATTGAGTAACTTTACCATAGTACATCCAAATGAGTTAAAAGTTTGGATTTAATAGTTTCAAATGATGACCTTTCGAATGAACATGAAAAATCAAAAATTAAAATGTTGGTCAGTGCCTCATATATTGAGGTGATTTTTAATTTTACGAGAGAGCTTATTCAATTGATGAATCACTTTCTCGGCGAAAGCTAGTGGATATAGATTATCGAGCATGTTGATTTCGAATATGACTATGAGAAATCTTCCTTCGATCTTTATATGCTAGTTCTTTTAGGCTATCATACTTCTTGCAAAAAATTATTTTCATTCGTGAAGTAGTTTATAGAGAATATCAAATTATCTAGAAAACAGTAACTTTGTCTGTTATAAGTAATTTTTTTTTACAGAAAATATAGTCAATGCAATACATACAAACGATGCATATCAATATTTCAATACGATGATTTTCTGAATGGTATTATTTTATTTAAAGCTTAATTTTTGAAAAACAAAAACAATTATTGACTTCTAGAGAGTTTGATGTGCTCTGAGTGAACCCAAAACGATTTCGAAAAAGTATTTGTTAGTCAAGAAAATCGATTTTCTGATCAAACTTGAGGGAATTTCTTGTGGTCATATTTGAAATCAGCATAGTCAATAGCTCATAATTCAGTAGCTTTTTGTGAGAAATAGATTGATCAGTTAAAAACGTTTGCTTGCTAGTCTTTGTAACGATTTTGATAGAAGAGTCACTAGCACTGATGAAGTTACGCTTTATTTGGCTTGTTCGTATCACTAATCATATCGTTTACATTAAAAACATATGTTTATATACGCAGGTAGAAGAGAGGATGAAAAGTAAGAAGATGAGGTCAAGAAGAGAATAGATACAAGAGAATAATAGGGTAAGGACAGCCAAGTAAGAGTAGAAAGGTTTGAACAATATATATAATATACGAATCAATGATAGAGGAAGGCTGAACATTATGTATGAAATCCAATCAACCGGGAGCGTTACTGTCCTTTCTTAAGTTAACCATTTTTTATCTTTATAATTATCAATAGTAGCAATTATGATTTTAACTTGAAATAAATATTGCTATATACTGTTTATTTTCGAACAAAGTTGCTGTTTGATGTCCTATTGATCTTGCAAGTACATTTTTGATTACTGAATGGATTATGAAAATTTTAGTTCTATAGAATTGGAATTTATTGAGAAAACTACAAATATATTCAAGATACTACTGTAGCAGTAAAACTAAAATTCTTCGTTTTATTGCTTAAATTTGCTTTTTTTTTTTTAAATAATATCAACCTTAAAAGCATGACTCCAGTTTTTTCGATTTCATTATCACTGTTTTAGACTATTTCAATAGTTTCGTTCGCAAAATTTTCAGGAAAAGTTAATAAAATCAAATTCATTCGTTATTGAGATCACAGAGCAAGTTTTTTTTGTGTCTTGTATTCTAACTAAGAAAATTTTTTTTATCCTTACCTAGAACATTTCTATAATGCGTTAGAAGTGGACATTAATAAAGAAAAGAAAAACAAAACAAATTTTGATTTTGCTATTACATTAGTACGTCAGATATATTTATCATTTACTTAACTACTTTTCATCCTATAGAATCAAAATTTTTAGTTACAATTCAGTAATCAATGATGTATTTCGTATATCAATATGACTTCGAACGACGATAAATAGAAAAATTGGATTTACCATTTTTTTGAGCCGAAGGAATGCATAAATAATGTCTTTTATTTCTTTCTTGTTCTGCCGGAAATCACTGATTGACTTGTGTTGTATTTTTTCCTTTGGTGCATTTGAAGTTATAAGGCATTTCGTTCGTATAGATTCATTTAGTCCGACTGTTCTTCGTTCTTTTTATTCTCGTATGGAACAAAGAAGATTTGATCACCTACGTTTAAAAGAAAATCAGTGATATAAATGATTTCGTATCCTAGAAAGGGTTACAAAGGTTTGAAAAATTAAGCAATAAAGCTAAAAGTATAAATTAACAATAAAAAGACACATAATATTCAACTAATAAATTGTTAATAAATAAGACTTGCTGCTATTTAAAATATATAAAACAGATCTTTCTAAGTTAGTTTCTAGTGTCATGACAAAGCAGTAAATGTAGATTGACAGTTTTATAGACAAGCATATCATTACCATAGTTGTTTATTTGACTTTATCAATAGACTTTAACAACAATTATCAAGAGTGTATTCCGAAGAAAACTAATGACCCTATTTATTTTTAATACAAAACATACATATAGTGAATTATTTATTCTTATTCTTGTTTCTTTACATCGATTCAATAAACAATGATTGTAATAAATCAAGCAGAAAGAAAGCAATTTGTTTCTACTTTGTCCGAATAGAGAAATCACTTAGACGATAGTATAGAAAAATAAAAGTGTACTTTCCTTATCTGTAATGTCATTTATTATTTTCTTTGTAACAAAAAAAATAAAGGTCATCGTTTTCTAATCTTTATCAACAGATACAAATAGTAATATTTGTGACAGCACCTGCTCTTGTTTTTGTTGTCTAGAACATGAGTAAATATCGTATATATGATCTGCAAAATTCATTTAAAGTTTTGATATTGTTATCCAATAATCGATACAAAACGAATTATGAACGTTGAAAATATTATTCAATTATTTCAAAGCCATTAATATTTCATTAACTGTAATATGATAATATTTCCAAAGATATTTAATGCTAGAACATTCTAGTTAACTCTTTCAGGATGAGATTTTCTTTTTACGAAGTAGACACCAAATTCATTATTATTTATAATCAGCGTTATCGATTTTTCAAAGAGATTTGAACCGTTTCAGAAGAAAAAATGTCTATATGTATCTGACGTCCCCAAAGAATTACAACTTGAGTCTTCATTTTAAATAAACTAAGACAAAATCATGAACTCTATTATATAGAGTTATGTTTTGACAAGGAGATTTTAACAAAAAAATTGAAAAATTATACCATTTAAAGTTAATATGATCAACTTCATACAGAATTGGAGATATATAATTCATTCCTTAGTCTTGCATATTACCTATATCTAAGTCAGTGACGAGAACAATTTAGATATTTCGTTGTTTGGTAAAAATCATTGAATAAATGTTATAATTTCAAACAAATTTCAACAGCTAATTCAAAAATTAAATAATAATTTTGTTTAGAATATTTCACTTCATAAAGTAAGCAATTTATTTAAGCTTTTATTTAAACTACACGGCATATTCACTGTTTGTAAATGTACATATAAATATATATCGATCAATGTCAATTTCTATATACTCAATTAGATAAATAATAATAATTCTTGATAAAATTTAGATAAACCAATAGTCTGCTAATACTTTTAGGTTATGTCCATCATCATCATTACAACTGTATTATTTACAATTCTTTTTTTACATATTCCATTAAGAATAAAACGGAAGTTGCAAATTATGTTTTTCTTTTGAAAGAACGATTTTTCATTATTCTTTTTTTGCGTAATTCTATTAATATTCATGAATCATGTGAAATTTCAGATATAAATGTGATATTAGATGAATGACGTATCTTATAAATTGCGTCATAAAATTACTATTAACGTTGTTTGATTAATTTTTTTTCTATGAAGTAATATGAATAAAGCTTTCATATGATTTCATTTTTGTCTATATCAATAGAGCAAGGATCAAATGTCAATTTCATTCTCAATGTCGATCATGATCTTTTTGCACGAGTCAGCATTTGTGATAATATTTGACTGATGATTCTAATTTTTAAAGGTATCCATAACTTCTTTCACTATGTTATTTTAGTATATTTTTTTTATAGGCAAAACAACAAAACAACTCGTGCTTTTAGCTGTCAACAAGAAAAAAAAGAAGACCACTTTGAATAAAATTGTGGATCACTTGAATCCATCATCTCAAGTTTCATCCATGATGAAAAATTCAAAAGTACTCTGATTAACTATTTTAAAATTATTATTAAACATATTTACTACAAATTATTCATAAGTTCTGAGAATAGCATAATATATATAATGATGTCTTGGTTACGTGACTGCGAACAAAAAAAAAACAAATGATAAGATCTTGATGACGTCTATATTGTTGCGTTATCTATGTTGGCATCTGCAAACCTAATTTTTTTGTTTCGATCCCTGAGAAAGCTCGACTGCATCGAAATATAATTTATTTATCATCATTCTCATGTGTACACTATAGAAGGAACCTCAAATTTGATCAATCATGCGCAGTTGGACTACTGCCAAGACTTTATTATAATGCAAATATACAGACAGCAAGACTTATGTGTTACAATATATATATATATATATATATGCATACTATGGACGTCATCAATGGTAAGGAAGAAAAAAAAACATGGTGCTTAATATGGTTATATACTTTACGGCAACAATACAAGGTAAATAGTTGTTGTCAGCAAGTTGTATTTTTTCATTTTTCTAGAGCAGTTTGACCTAAATCAGTGCTTACAAAGAAAAACGATTATAAGTAACTGTATTTTGCACTTATAAAATAGATGTGTTTCAATTTGAATTCTTATGAATACAAAAGCGTATTCATTTTCACACTAAATGTTGTTTTTTTCTATACTAGCATATAAATGAAACGAATGCGTATATCGATAATAAAAATTCAAGCAGATGCTGAAAATTACTATGTGAGGGCGAATATAAAAGAAAGAGAAGATATTAGACACGTAAATAACTCAATGTACTTAATATATATAGGTTTGCCAATGGAAACATCAAATTACACACGATTGCAAGATTATGGTACAGAAAAGTGCTGTTTCTATTATCACTGATTGAAGTCATACGATTAGTTTATATGAAGAAGAAAAAATTTGTTTTATTTATTTGAAAAACGTGCAATATCGAATGGCAATCATCTGATGAATAGCAGATAGCTGTAAGTTAACTCATTTCGAGAACATCACTTATCCTATAAACTATCTTCTTTTTTTCTTTTCTACATATTTTCTCAATCAGTCTAGACGTACGTCAATGACGACAAAAACAAAACGCTATGTCAACTAATGGATATAGATGTGATACTGAGATATATACGAGTGTAACATGAATGGAAGACATAAAGAGATATTCTCTTTTCTTTCTTTGTTTCCTTTCCTAACATATACCCTGATACTAATCTATTCATTCGACTGAATTATTGAAAACATCTATTCCAGCTAACAAGTATGTAATTTCTAAAGTAATTACAACATGCTTGCTTTATAGTACACACAGTCATCCATCGAAAATGTTCATTGATTATGTCTATTGCATATTCATTATCATTTGAGTATGTGTATTTGACTGAATTATGATTAGATTTCAAATGTAGAAATCATGGATGATGAATAAAGGCTATAGAATGAAGGGCAAAGTGCATTTTTGCATGTTGTTATTCTCAGTATTTGCCGATTTTGATTAATTTATTTCTTCCTTTTTTTTCTGCCAATAGTATGCACGTCCATGGTTCTTCGTTTTTCACAGGTAGATTACTATCTCTCATCTAACTGTGATAATGATTACGATGTGCTTTCAAACACAACACAAAAAAAAAGAATTGCGTTTTATATAAATATCTACTATTTTAAGGACATCATAAATTACAGATGATATTTTTTTATAAATATACCCACCTAAGAAGAGATAAGAATATTGACCAAGGAAAAGCTAAATATAGAACACATGTGTATTAATAATGTCTTTATTACTTCAACAGTATTTATTTTTATTTTTATTTTATTTTTAAGGCATAATCAATGTGGCACTTAGACAGATACGTATATAGAAAAATGTTCTTTTCTTTTGTTGGTTTTAGATCAGAAAACGAAAATCAGGAAAATAGAATACGACTGATAATAGTAAGAGATAGGATTACCAATTTATTATTATTTTTAGCACATTTTTCTTTTGAACTGAGCTTTTAACATAAATAATTTCATATAAAAGGATTTCTATTTTAGGGTACCACCATTTTGAGAAGGTTATGTTGGTCTCAACTTCGAGAGTCAAAAGTTCTTGCTAAGTTCGACTAATTGTTTTTCCATATTGTTTCGCATCCTTTATTATCAACGAAATGTCATGTAGAAAGTAATGTATTATCAACGATTGTTGGTTATAAGAAAGAATATGTTACATTGAATTTCAGTCATTATTGATGGATGAGGAAGGGCGTGGCAGATGTATCATCATACAAAAAAATGAGTGCATAAGTTTCATTCATTCAATTCTTAGAAACTCGTGACTTATAGAAATAATAGCGAGGGCGGTTTATATAATAGCCATTTGTGACACGACAAACAATCACGAGAAATAGAATTTGTACGTTTATGAATATCTATGATAATGAGAATATCAATGACAGCTGTTGTTTTCGATTTAGTTGAATTCAAAGAACGATTCAGAACGAAGAAAGAGGAAAAGAGAAAGGCGCGTACGTGACCTATTTTCTTCCTGTGCATCGGAGATGTAATTCAATCTGAAGAGATAGTTGAAAAAACAAGTTTCTACATGGAACAGATGAATGTTAGATAGCGGCCTCTCTGCAACACCGTATCCAATTGGATAATTTCTATAACAGTCTTTGATGATGTAGACATCATTGATTAAAATAGAGTACATCTTGTTATTTATCATTCAATATGATTTATTTGTACAAATAATAGTCAAAATATTAGGAGACTGAAACAAATGTTTTATGTTTCTCGTTTGACTTCGGGTACAATGCCATTGTAAAGTAAATCGAAAATGCCAAAGAAAATAGTATAACACACCCACTACTAACACAGTACAATTTAAAGTTGTACTTTCGCGTGTATGCAATTTAGCTTTTATTTTCTTCTTTCGCTTCAATCGATGTTTTGTCTTTTATACAAAAACAAAAACACTATGCGTACATACTTTTTACGCAAATACGACCTACAAAAAAAACGTGGAAGAAAGAGAAAAACATCGATTAATGACAAAGAGCAATAGTCCAAAGCACATATTGTTATAGTTTACATCGACATTTTAAATGTGTTGAGAAGTTTTATTACTGTGGTATTACCTTTTTGTTCCCAAATGAAAAGGTAATGATTTTTCTCCTTGAAAAGGTTTTACAAAAATTATTTCATGGTTCATTCTCATTTATGAGTATTTGTGAGTCAAAAACACGTTTTATGTTTGTTCGTTGGTGTACGCCTTTTTCTTCTGTCTGCGTTTATATTTATTTAAACTTTATAATAAATTCTACGACATGTTTTTTGCTGATGGAATTTTATGTTTTTGTTTTTTTGTAGATACGACATAAATAATTTATTATGATTTTTCTTTGGTTTATCAAAGAAAATATTTAAGTTTGTTTCGAATTATATTGTATACTTTACCTTTTTATTTATTCATGACGACTAAATCATCAATACAAAGTATTAAATCAAGATTTTCAAGTAGTAATAGTGTACATAGCATGGCAACAAATGATAATGATAAAAAACAAAGTCGCATACATGTTAAAAAACCATTTAGTACAACAAATTTTTTACAAAATAATTCAACAACAAATGGTTTTACCAACCATTTAAAAAAACGAACATTACAATTAAATAATTTTTTTCATTCAAAATTAAAAACTAACTGCTCAAATGAATTAAATGGTAATCATCAATCTGAAGGACGTTCAACATCACCACCACTTGTCTTTCATGCTATTGCTCCGGCTTTACCAGGAGAAATAAATAAATCATCAAAATATGTTCACAATGAACAAAAGGTATTCTTAGTTTTCATTTAAAAACAAAAAAGAAATTAGAATGAAAGTATTATTTTCATAATTTTCGAACTAGACTCTCGATCTTGGTTCTTGTCTAGAGGAAAATATTTTATAATTTATTCATATCAGATCTAAGAACTATCTTCAGTACTCTTTCATCTATACAGGTGATGAATATCACTTTTGTAAGCATGTCTCTTGCGTGTTGTTTTGATCAAGATGATTAATGAAAGAATCCGCTCAGAAAAATAGAAGATATGATTACACTCTTGATTTTCTGTTTGAGCATTTTTTCTCGTAGCCTCGATTCCAGTTCCAATAATTTTTTTCTCATGATACCGGCAAGCCGTCAAATTTTGACATGGATCAGGTCAAAAGTGACCGTGCAAATTTCGTCGTCTGCCCCAACGAAAGATATTAAAAAGGTATAACGAAATAAATGAAGGATAGAAATTCCTATTAATTATTGGCATATAATTGCTTTCATTCATGTGATTATGTTTACATAATATTTTTTTACACATATCAATCTATTAAGGTATTTACCTTTTCATTTTGCTTTCAGTCAAATGATGAATCGAAATCGCCTTTGAATCCTCGTATTAATCATATACTTGCTCATACTGTAATCAAAGCGATGTCAATCGATCAACATTCAACTGAAACACAATCCAATAATTCAGAAGAAGATGAAAATTCACCAAAATTTTATCCTGTATTATCATCAATAGATGCTGATGCTGATGAATCTGATAGTAGTCCTAATAAAAATATTAAAAAACTACGTCGTTTACAAAAAACACGTCGAGCAAGTATTTCATCTTTACAACAAAAGTATGAAAATAATAATGGTAAAGATGAACAACAGCAACAATCAAGTTCTGATGAAAATGAAAATAAAGAATCAAATGTAATTACAAATGGACATACTGAACGAAGAATAAAGCCACCATCAGTTAAACGATTTGATCGTTTAAAAGCAGCAGCAACAACAACAACTGATGATGGTACAAAACAACAATATGATCGTTATCATCCATTAGATAATCTTGAATCGAAATTAACAACTACAAATGAATCAACATCATCAATTCCAAAAATGACTGGATCAACAAATCAATCATCTGTAAAAAAAGTTAATCGATTTCAAGTTAAATCAATACGTAAATCTCAACAACCACAAATTATGTTTGCTAATAAAGCTGCAGCAACATTTTCAAATGATGATGATTATTCTTTATCCAATGAAAATTCAAATTTATCATTAAAATCATCAATTATTGAAAGAAAACATACAAATACACCAACAACTGATATAGAAAATTCAATGATGCATACAAATCATACTGTTAATGGTACTATTTCAACATCTATTAATGTTGAAAGTGGACATCCCCATGTTCATTTTCATGCTACATCACATGAAAAACAAGATTCAACTGCCGATGATGAAAAATCACCTAATCTAACAGTTACAGCAGTTACATTACCAACTCCAACTCCACATTCATCGACAGCTTCAGCACAAGGAGAGGTTAGCATTCTATTTGTTTCATCTAGAAAATTTTTCTCTATAATAGCTGAAAAAAAAGCTGAGTTATCATCGCTTGAAAAAATAATATATACTAACGAAGAAACATTTTCAATTAGTCAATCACTTTCTCAAGAAAAGTTACCGAATTATGAATTATCAGCTATACTGATTCTGAATTATCAGCTATACTGATTCTGAATATAATCATAACAAATCTTCTTAGGTTTTTCTAGAAAATTGAATTTTCAAACTAACAAATATTTTTGCCACAATTATTTTGGATCTAGTCAGAGCGTATCGAGTTATTGATACATCGAGATATCTGTCAAAGACGCAACACTTCTCCCAAATCGAGAACTGATACCATCAGTACCCGATTTGCCTTGTCAAGCTGATTCTACGAACACGCATATCTGTTACTAATAAGTAGGTTGAGTCGATCTAGACATTCACCCAAAATGTTAGGCTTTTATAGGCTAGCCTTGAAAAAAAATAGAACGGATATATATATATATATCTCAATTTCAAGTCTAATAATTGATTTTTCCGTATAGCTCGTATGAGCGTGTCCAATCTATCTGCATTATCAATTTCCATATTTGACAGTATCGAGTGTCATATACGCTAACATTAACATCGTGTCCTCTATTTCTGCTGAAGAACAGCATGACCTCGGCCAACAATGTGAGACTCAATACTTAGGAATGGGTCAGAAGAGGAGAAATATAACAAAAGTATCAGTATAGTACATCAAAAATCAAAAGACTGAACGAAAAGAAGAAAGAATAGAATACCATGCTGATGCTAGCGTATATGACACTCTATACTATCAAATATGGAAATTGATAATAGAGATAAATTGGACACGTTCACACGAGTTATAGGCAAAATTCAATTACAAAGCTTACAATGAAGAAAATATATCCTTTCTATTTTTCTAAGACTAACATATAAAAGTCTTATATTTTGCATATGTGCCTAAGTCGAGTTGACCTACTTACTAGCAAAACATATGGATGTTTGTGTCTTTTACGGATACCTTTAATATTGATATGCATCTCTTGTATGCATTAAAATAACTATATTTTCTGCTAAAAACAAATAATTTAAAACAGAAAAAGTTACTTTTTCCTAAGCTATTAAATATTTTCTATCATCTGAATGAATCGAAAAATTGAGTAGTCTAGAAAATCAGCAAATTAAGACCTAAGAAGAATTTCTCATTGTTATATTTGAAATTAGAATAGTCGATCACCAAAAATCTACTAGCTTTCGACGAGAAAATAGCTAATCAATTGAAAACGTTCTCTCATAAACATACAGATCCTTTTTTTTCTAAATCTTCGACATGAATTCGATAGAACATTTTGGAACGAATTCTCTTTCCTTTTAAACATGATTTATAATTCTTCTCTTACTGTAGGATGATGAAGAAGAAGCAGTTGCTAAAAGTCCCGATGGCCGTTTTATTAAATATGCAAAAGAAATTGGTCGCGGTGCATTTAAAACAGTGTATCGTGGTTTAGATACTGAAACAAGTGTTGCTGTTGCTTGGTGTGAATTGCAAGTAAGATGACGAAAATTTCTTTTTTTTTTTTTCTTCTTTTATATAAATATAATTTTACTGATTGAATAGGATTTTGCACAGTTTGATAAACATGAACGAGCACGTTTTAAAGAAGAGGCTGAAATGTTAAAAAATTTACAACATCCAAATATCGTACGATTTTTTGATTTTTGGGAAGAAACAAATCCAAGAACAAATAAAAAAGTTATTATTCTTGTTACAGAATTAATGACATCTGGTTCTTTAAAAGGGTAAGCGACAGACGAAACATAAAAACATCATTTTACATTAAATTTATTTATTATTGTTTATTTAAAGATATATACGTAAATTTAAAGGACAAAAAGAAGAAAAACGAATTAATGTAATGAAAAAATGGTGTCGTCAAATTCTTAAAGGTCTTGCTTATTTACATAGTCGTAATCCTTCTGTTATACATCGTGATTTAAAATGTGATAATATATTTGTATCAAGTACAACCGGTAGTGTTAAAATTGGTGATCTTGGTTTAGCTACATTTAAAACTCAAACATTTGCTAAAAGTATGCGTGGTACTATGGAATTTATGGCACCAGAAATGTTTGATGAAAAATACGATGAACTTGTTGATATATATTCATTTGGTTTATGTATGTTAGAAATGATGACTGGTGAATATCCATATATTGAATGTAAAGGACCAACAGCTGTTATAAAACGTGTTACAGCTGGTTTAAAACCAGATTGTTATTATAAAGTTGAAAGTGAAGATGTACGAGAAGTAATTGATTGTTGTATACGTACAAAGAAAGATGAACGTTTACCTGTACATGAATTATTACAGCATTCATTTTTTCTTGATGATAATGGTTTACGTATTGATTTTGTACGTGATCCAGCGAATGATTCACAAGTTATGATTACGAACAATTCAATTAATTTAAAATTAAAAGTTGTTGATAAAACAAAACGTAAATCATTATGGACAGAACATGAAGCTCTACTTTTTCGATATAATTTAACAGCTGACACACCTGAACAAATAGCTGATGAACTTATTAAAACAAATTACATATTTGAGGAAGATAAAAAGTTTGTTATACAGTCAATTCAAGATCGAGTTCGAGCTTATCAATATGAACAAATTGATCGAAAAGCTGGCGTTTTTGGCCGAGATCGTAAATCAACTATTAATCAAACATCACAACCGTCACTTATTGGACAACAACAAATGCCACCACCTCAGCAACAACAACAACCAGCACTACCACCACAACAGCAATCGGTACCAGTAACTCCATTATTAGCTCAACCTCAAGTACAACATGTTCCTCCTATTCCATCAACACCTCCCATTATGCAACAATCACCAATGGCAGTACAGCAACAACAAATGGTTAAACCATTATCCGAAATCTCATTAACTAAACCAATTGTGGTAACAGAACCAATCGGAATTCCACAATTGCCTGAACTTGGAACAAGTGTATCTGGCTCAGCTGGTAGCCTTGAAGTACTTGATGCGGCATTAAAGAAAACTTTTACTAAAAGTAATTCATCTCAAAGTACAAATGCTACATCAGCAATTACCAATGATATTAGTGAGCCAATAATATCATTGGTTAATCAAGATGATTCATCGATTTCACGACTGGGAAGTGATACTGCTGTTGTTGATCAACAACAAATAGAAGAATCTGGAGGATCAGTGCCTGTTGAGTTGACTACAAGTAAGTAACTAAAATGTCATTTAATATCTACTTACTAGTAATTTTTCTACTAGATGTTTTTCACTTATCGACACCATCAACGTTACAGACTCAATCGCAACCAACAACAATGTTAGCCACTTCCCAACAACAAATGTTACAAAATCCTCTTCTTTTAACTCAAACATCACAAAGTTTTTCTTATTCAACAATACCTCCTTCTCAACATCTTATTACTGCAATCGTATCAAATGATACTATAGTGCAACAAATGCCTTCTTCTTCAATAACAACAATAGCTACAGAACCTATTGAAAATAGTCTCCTATCAGTATCTCCTCCATATACAAATGAAATACTTCAACCTTCTATTCTGTCAGATACATCATCAACTCCTCAACAACCTGTAAACAAAACTTATTTAAATATATTTTTGTTTCTCTCAAATTCATTTTTTTTTATTAGATATTGGGTAGTTTAGAACAACTCGATGCACTTCTTAAAGATACGTTCAAAACTTTCAGCAAAACTGCTGCTACAACACATAATAGTGATACAGAAACAACAAATACAAACGTTTCATCAATTCCATTAATAATCAATGATGATATTTCAATAAAACCAATTGAAATCGAATACGATTTAATGAATAATATTGATGAAAAACAACGAAGCTCTAATCCTATGGTATCATCATTTCCTCATTCAGAACCAAATACATCATCAATAGCTATTCCTAAAGCTATTCAACAAGTAAAATCACAACCAACAAGTCAAATTTCAACATATTTCGATCCATTAATATCACCCGAAAGAAATATGTGTGAATTAGATACATTACTTAAAACTCCCAATGAAAGATCATTATCTAATGATGATACAATAATTGCTGCATCATCGAATGATTTTTCTGATATTAAATCAATGATTATTGATTTAACTAAAACAGTATTGAAACGAATGGATATTATTGAAAATAAAATCGAAGAACATAAAAACCAAACTATACAACTCAATAATTTATTAACAAAAACTATTTTACCATCGTTTATTGATTTAGCTACTATTATTCACGAAACACCAAATTTAGATCCACATGTAAGGACTAAACTTGAAAATATTCAAATGAATATTCGAATAGTACAACAACACAAACCAATTGACATGAAAGATTTAATGGAAATCTAAACTGTTTCTTTTTATTAAATTCTGTGTTTGAGCACGTTTTTCTTTTCTTCTTTTTTGAGATTCACATGTACAGTTTCTCTTGTCTTTGTCGTTCTATCTCTTTTTTTCCTACAATCAATATCATCCTTGACGTAACTAGAAGTGCGAGGTTCATGATAGAAAGACAAACACTATTTTATTTGTAAATAAAAAATCAATTATAGCAGCGACGAATGAATGTAAATTGACATATAATAAATATGGAAACCTATATTATTTTTAGTTCTAAAAAGGTCACTAGTGAAATAATAGCAAGATGGCTGTTAGAGCGTGCTAATTCTGTCTCCTTCTGATGAAGCGGACTTTGACCCTAATGGCAAATGGGAGTATTATTATTTTCTCAATCAAGTTGCAGCTAAACAGTCAACACTATTGGTTTACTTATTTGACTCATAAACTGATACATACGTCTAATATTAATTTGCAATTCAGGATATAGTGAAATATTATTTACATTAGATGATCAAATATTTCGAATAGTCAATTTAAGTCGTACACTTTAGTTGACTATGGATATTGTTAAATATTGAATATTAAAGTCCCGTCCCAAAAATCTAACTGTGCCAGAGTATATGAGATATTAATGAAACTTTGCATAGATGTTGGGCTCGTACAAGACTATTGAGAGAAAAATCTTCACGTCTCCATTATATCTTACCATTCAAGAGATTTCCAGTGAGAAAGCTGCAAAGCTCAGGTTGCTTTCATTTAAAAGAGAATCCGTTACCATTTTGGATGAGGAAGAGGCTTTTTCTTACTCTGTTTCATTTTTTCGATCATTGAAACTTGAAAAATCTGGAATTTTTAGACATAGTCTTCTGGAAAATTCAGGATCTATTTAGCATTGCAGATTAATTAGAAAATTCCTTTTCCTCATATATAAAAGGTGTTTCATAATAAGGAATGTCTATCATTTACCCCAATTTGGTTACCACAAATCAATCCCCAAATAAATCCCCATTTAGGGATTTTGATTTAGGGATTTTTTAATTTGGGGATTTTTTTTCACATGAAATGTATGATACATTTTGGTGTTTGGTTTGAATTAATTAAACACAACAGAAACAGTTTTACGATGAATCTGGTGACTAGAATGTATCATGGGTTACTATGAACTCTTTTTTTTGGCAATGCAAAAAAACATTCTGGTCACCAGATTTACCTCAAAACTGTTCGTCGTAGGCACCTGAGATATATTCTGGTCACCAGATTTACCTCAAAACTGTTCATCGTAGGCACCTGAGATATATTCTGGTCACCAGATTCATCATAAAACTGTTTCTGTTGTGTTTAATTAATTCAAACCAAACACCAAAATGTATCATACATTTCATGTGAAAAAAAATCCCCAAATTAAAAAATCCCTAAATGGGGATTTATTTGGGGATTGATTTGTGGTAACCAAATTGGGGTAAATGATAGACATTCNTTAGGGATTTTGATTTAGGGATTTTTTAATTTGGGGATTTTTTTTCACATGAAATGTATGATACATTTTGGTGTTTGGTTTGAATTAATTAAACACAAAAGAAACAGTTTTATGATGAATCTGGTGACCAGAATATATCTCAGGTGCCTACGATGAACAGTTTTGAGGTAAATCTGGTGACCAGAATGTTTTTTTGCATTGCCAAAAAAAAGAGTTCATAGTAACCCATGATACATTCTAGTCACCAGATTCATCGTAAAACTGTTTCTGTTGTGCTTAATTAATTCAAACCAAACACCAAAATGTATCATACATTTCATGTGAAAAAAAATCCCCGAATTAAAAAATCCCTAAATGGGGATTTATTTGGGGATTGATTTGTGGTAACCAAATTGGGGTAAATGATAACCTACCCATAATAAGTGATGATAAATTATTTTTGATATTTTTTACACTTTCTGTTGACGTAGAGAGCTGAAATTTTTATCACATATACATCTAATCATCATCTTCCATTCCTGAAAGTTTCAGCTTTCTAGCTAAAGCTCGTGACGAAATGCATCGATAAGATTGAAATACATAAATTTTCGTACGGAATATTGCTAGGTAGTTCCGTGGGTAGTCAACCAAAAACATCACAAAGTACTCAATTAATTTTCTTTCGTATCCAACTTTGTAGAACTTTTTTCGATGATCATTTTGGTAAAAAACCTTTTCGAATTTCATTAAGAAATGACAATGTTATAGTCAAAATATTTATCGTAAAAACAGAAGATGTCAGATTTTTTTTGATAGGAATATCGTATACAATGTTTAATCAAGATTTATTCATCCTATTCGCCTGTATCTAAAAAACCGACTATAGAATTTTGTAGAGTAAAGCTTTCTCTACAAAACCTACTATATCACATTTCTTCAGAATATAGCCATTTTGAGATATATGAATCGACTTTTACTTACATTTTACAGTGTTTAGTATTTTGTCTATAACATCGCCATTTCTCAATGATATTCGAAATTTTTTTTTTTACTAAAATGATCAACGAAAAAAATTCTACAAAGTCTGATGCGAAAGAAAATTTTCTGAATACCTTTGTGATTTTTTGGTTGACTACTCACGGAACTACCTTGCACTATTTTCGCAGTAAAAAATATTAAAAAATCATTTTCGAAAATTAATGTATTTTAGTCTTGTCAATGTATTTCACCACTAGTTTTAGCTAGAAAGCTGAAACTTTCAAAAATAAAAGATCTTCATTAGACATATATGCCATAAAAATATCAGTCCTCTACGTCAAGTAAAAGTAGGAAAAAATATTATTAACAATTTATCGCCAGTTATTATGGAACACCCTTTATATAAATATATATACAAAAAAAATGCAAAACAAGGTTTTTTTTTAGATAGTCTTTCTATAATTAATTACTGAAAATGAAGGCAAAGCATAAATATATTACATGTCAATTGAAGCACTTGTCTATGTACATTAGATTGCCCTCGAACGACCAATATACGGTGCAAGTTCACTTTTGTAGAGAAGCAATTAAGTTTTAACTGAGCCCATTTGTCTTCTCCCATCCATAGTGAACAGTTCGGCAGCAAAGCTTTTATCGTTTAAATTTAATATTTCTCAAAGCCATGATATATGGAAGCCTGAGTATTAAATTATCCGACAGTGCATTGTGAGCTTCGAATTGGTATAACACTATCTACGGAAAAAAAGCTTTTCTCAAAACAATTTAGGAAAATTTCAATTTGTTGGTCATTATCTTTTTGTTCACTGACTATTGTGTTCTCGCCTGGAGATTTATGTAAAAGTTTGTCGGAGCTTTAAACAATTACTTTTTTTTGAAAAAACTATAGACGCTACACTCAGCTGGAACGATAGAGGTGCTGTTCTTCAGATTGTTTAACTATTTGATATTAGCAGCAAGCTGATCTTCTCTCTAATTGTGAAACAATAGGTAAATTTAGTTCTTTTTGTTTTGAAACATGTTCATTTCAAACTTTAAAACAGCTAAATTATAAATTTTGTTAAAAAATAAACAAAAATAAATAACGAATGCTGAATACGCAGCTCATTTTTATTGACAATAAATAGCAAAGAAGATCAGCTATTGCGTTTCACCTATTAAAAATTCATTAATTGGACTTCAATGCTTTTGATCAAAGTAGTCAAGTATCCTTTAGTCAATCTTAAAGAGATGAGAAACAACTTAGAGTTAGACTCTTGGCCCTGGTTCAGCAGAAAGTGTTAGGTATTGCAGATTATAAAATTAGAGAATCCAAAATAATCAAAATGTCGATTACGTATTGCTCAATGAATTACATGTGGGAGATGCATATCAGGAAGTACACTCAACAGGATAACAATAAACAAAATTATGATACTGGCAATCAATCTTTCTACGTTCCGCAAAGAGTCATATTGAATATATATACGTTGAATTAAATAGTCTTACACTGTTAGAAATAGCAGACTTAGTGAATTTGGGAAAGAAGTCAGTTCGTATCGTTTCCTCAAACTCTTGCTAATGGAAGCAATTGCTAGCCCTGGTAGTGCTGGTACGCCGCCAATGATGTCACTGATACTGCTGCACTAGCATTTTTGTTTTTATTATATCTTAATTATTTTATTATTTTTTTCTTTTTTTCTTTCAGGTTAAATAAATAACTAATGTGAGATATTCTTCTACATAAGAATAAATAAATATGTCAGTTGTAAACTTCTCTTCTTCAAAAAAACAGAGAAGAATCGTCTTCTCTAGTTGTATATATAGCCATTGTTTTCGATGCATTCAACCATTATCTTCTTTCTCATCAATTGAATAATTTATTTGTGCGTACAGTTGATTTAGTCTTTCTGTTCAAAATATAACAGTACTTCAACTATAGATAAAAATAGACCATTCAATCAATAAGCATTCTCTTTTTTTCTTCATTCGATTAAATATTGTTATATAAGAACAGAATGAATAATCTATTGTATGAATAAAAAAAGTTGTGTTTCTCTTGTCCAGCAGCCTGTCGGATGCCTTTATATTCGACACAGAGAAACTCTCCTCATTGAAACATAGAGTATACAGTTAAAATCTTTCATTTACAATACGTGCTCATCATATGGACATACATTGATTATCTTAACAATGTGCATGACGCCATTATGTTCTCAATAAGACAGTTTCTCTGTACGCGCGTATGTGCTTATCTCTTCAAATCAAAACAAAAGAAATATATTATTTTCTCTTAATTTGCTCTCGTCCCGGTTCCATTTGATGATCTCTCGGTTGGGTCCCGTCTCAGTTCGATCTCTTTCCAGTTCGTTCATGATTCCTCAAATTAAAATGAGATGATAAGTCTTTACTTATCTTCATGATTAGTCATTTATAGAATTCATTCTGGAATGGTCATGACTTGAGTACAATCCATATAGTAATCCGGCTTAAATCAAATGACGCATCAGTAGTCATTGTTAAGATACATTTATTGAATACAAAAGGCGAACATCCAGTAACATGGAATTCACAACTT